CAGGCAGAGGACTAGTATCTAGACTATACAAAGAACTAAAAATATTAAACCAACTAAAATTAAAGACCCAATCAAGAAATGGACAAGAAAAATGAACCAACACTTCACAGAGGAAAAAATACAAATAGTTAACAAATTTATGAAAAAATATTGAACTACTCTGGTCATTAGAGAAATGCAAATTAAAACAACACTAAGATTCCATCTTACTCCAGAAAGAATGGCTATCATTAGGAAATCAAACAATAACAATCCCAGAACTCTCCTGCATTGTTGGTGAGAATGCAAACCATTATGGAAATCGGTGTGGAGATTTCTCAAAGAATTGAAAGTAAAAATTCTGGGGCTGGGGATTTAGCTCAGCGGCAAAGCGCCTGCCTGGCAAGCGCAAGGTCGTGAGTTCGGTTCCCGGTACCGGAAAAAAATAAAAAAAATAAAAAAAAGAAATTAAAAATTCCATACAACCCAGCTATTCTTCTGCTAGGTATCTCCCCCAAACAGTTTAAGTCATCACACTATAGTGATACATCATACCAATGTTTATAGCAGCACAATTTATAATAGCTATGTCCTGGAAGCAGCCTGTACACCCATCGACAAATGATTGGATAAACAAAATATGGTATCTGTATATAATGGAATACTACTCTGCTACAAAGAATGACACATTCGAGGCATTTGTAGGAAAGTGGATGCACCTGGGAAATATAATATTGAGTGAAATAAATCAGACACACAAGCTTAAATACCATATGGTATCTCATTTGATGGAGGCAAAATATAAACAAAGAAAGTGATAAAGGATGGATAGGAAGGGACAAGGAGACAGATCTCATTCAACAGGGAAGTGGTTCAAAGGAATAAGGATGAGGGGTGAGGAGAAGGGAAAAGGGAAATGAGAAGAATAGGGATCTTAATATTGTACACCATAACATGAGCTAAGACAAATAACATCAACAACTATGAAAAAGGTGATAGGGGAGCCAGAGGAACAGCAGGAGAGGGGGAGGGAAGGTGAAGGGTATTTAAAAAAACATGTAATATGCACATGTAACCACTGTAATATGCACGTGTAACCACTCCCCAAGATGACTGTAAACTGCATGAACTGCAAACATGTACTAAAAATAACGTAACAATTTATCCTATGGAAACAAAAAAGCAAGCTAGGAATACATCCATATAAAAATGTTTAGAATACTATTGCTAGTAATAAAGAAAATTTGAAAACTATGTAAATGTCTTATAAAAGAAAAATAATGAAAAACTGTTGAGCAGATTCATAAAAAAACTAAATGAGTGGCTACCATATGATCCAGCAGTGGTGCTCTTGGGCGTTTGCCCCAAAGAAATTAAAAACTCATGTTCAGTTGGGTGCAGTAGTACACACCCGTAATCCCAGTACTTGGGAAGCTGAGGCAGCAGGATTGCTGTGAGTTCGAGGCCAGCCTGGGGTACAAAATGACTTTAAGGCCAGCCTGAACTACATAGTGAAACTCTGTTCTAAAAAAAAAACAAAAACGAAACCATGTTCACACAAAAGCTTGTTTATAGACATTCCAGGCAGTTTTATTCATAATGGCCACAAGTTGGGAATAACCTCTACGTTCCTTAAAAGGGTAAATGGTAAACAAACTCTGGCACATCCATACCATGACATACAACTCAACAATTAAAAAAATTAAATTAAAAAAGAGCTTCTGATACATACAAGTTGGATGACTCAAAAGAATTAGAATTATCCTGAACAAAACAAAAAAGCCAACTCAAGCTGTTGCATACTGTATGATGTGACTTGTACAACATGCTTGAAATGAAAATTATAGAACAGGGACAGATTCGTGGTTGGCAAGCGTTGGGGAGGGTGTGTGTCTATGAAGGGAAGCTGCAGGATCCTTGTGGTGATGGAATAGTTTTGTGTCTTGATTGTGGTGCCTGCTACAGGAATTTACATGTGTGATAAAATTGCATGGAATGAAATACACACCCATACTATGCACCTAAAAAAATGAGTGCCCCCAAAAAACTGGTGGAATCTGAATAAGCTCTTTGAATCATACTAAATCAATCTTGGTTTTCATATTGTACTACAGGAACACAGGATGTTACCATTGAGTGAAGAATACACAGAACTAGGGGCTGGGGATTTAGCTCAGTGGCAAAGTGCCTGCCTGGCAAGCGCAAGGTCATGCGTTCGATTTCCGATACCGGAGAAAAACCAAAAAAAATAAAAATAAGAATACACAGAACTTATCTGTAGTATTTTTTGCAAGCACCGCTGAATTTATAATTTTCCCTAAATTAAAAATTTACAGAGACAGTAAATGGATTAAAAATTTTTTACTAAAATTATGCATACACAGCCATGTTAATGAGGCGGACAGTATATACCTGCATAGAAAGAGCAGGCAGAAAATAACTCACAGGATATATCACATTTATTATTTTTATGGAAAAGTATATTTATATGCATGTTCAAACATATTGAGATATCTAGAAGAACAATTAATCAAAATGTTAATAATGTTATTTTGAGAGAAGCTCTTTTTACTTCAATTTTTTCCTGTTTTGCTTAAATTTTATATAACTAACATGTATTACTTTAATAACAGAAAGAAAAATTTTTTAATGTTTAGAATTTTTAAATGCTCCATATGACTATTTATCCATACGGAAAAATAATATTCCTTATGAAAACTAAAAGGCATGTTGCAAAACAACATCATCCCAACATTACAAAAAGGAATTGTACTTTTTATATATGCAAAAACAAGAAAGACATACATCCAAGTATAAATGGTGGTCACGGCTAGGTGATGAAATTATGGGCCTCTTAGTACCATTTTACCTGTCTGTGTTTTCTGATGTTTCTCCATATAGTATAGTTATACTTCCCTCAATTTCTATGTATTCTTGGGATAGCTTAAAAATTTACATCTTTCAAATGTGAACAGTAAATATGAAAGGCCATAAAGGTAAACTAGCCCTCCAATCTGCAGACTTGACCATTTAGCTCAGTCAGTTGCCCACAGGATACCAACTGTTAAGAGTTTTGTGTATTATCTTCCAGATCTCTTCGTACAAACATAAGCAAAGAGGATTTCCTCCGTTTTATATGAAAAGTAGCAGGCTCTACATATTGTTCCACACTTTGCTTGTTTCCCTTGAAAATACACCACAGAGAGCTTTCCATAACAATATTTAGAGAGACTCCACTTCTTAACATATTTTAACTTTGTAGAGATAAGCCAAAATTTAACAGTCCGCTGCTAAAAGCCATTTGTAGCAGTTCTAGTCTTTTGCTCTTATAAACAGTGCAGCTGTACTTACATCATTTCCCACGCATGCCAGTTCACTATGTGTCCATTTGTGTATCTGGTTCGACTTTTCCCTAGCAGTTTCTAGAAACTCTTTACATAACAAGGAAAGCAGCTGTCTGTGACATGAATTGCAAATATTTTTCCTTGTTTGTCATTTGTCTTTCAACGTTACATATGTTTTGTTTTAGGCTTGTTTTTATTTTGTTTGGATTTTTTGCCCCCTAGGGGCTTTTTTTGCTTTGGTTGTTTTTGTTTTTTGAGACAGGGTCTCACTATATAGCTGAGACTGACCTTGAACTCGCAGCAGTCCTGCCTGGGCCTCCAGAGTGCTGGCTTACAGGCATGCGCCACCACTCCTGGCTTGAGATATCATTTTACTTTTTTGTCTTTTTTTGGTACTGGGAATCAAACTCAGGACTTTGTGCCTGCCAGGCAGGTGCTGTGTCCCTGAACTGTATCCTCTGTCCTTAAATTATTTTTATATAATAAAATTTATCAGTATTTTCTCTTTAGGCATCTGGCTTTTGAGTCACAGCTAGAAAAGCCTTTTCCATTTCAATGTTAAAAGGAATTCTGCATCTTTTCTGGGGTTGTGTTTTGGTTTGGGGGTGGGTTTTGTTTGTTTTTTTGCTTTTGGGAGGGGTTTTTGTTTGTTGGGTTTTTTTGAGGGCGGGGAGGTGGTTTGGTTTTTTCCAGTACTGGGAATTGAACTCACAACGTTGCGCTTGCCAGGCAGGTGCTGTGCCACTGAGCTAAATCCCCAGCCCTTGTTTGTTGTTTTTTGAGACACACGGTCTTTTTTTTTTTTAAGACAAGGTCTCACTATGTAGCCCAGGATGGCCTCGAACTCCTAGCCATCCCAGCCTCCCAAGTACTGGGATGACAGCCATGCACCACCACACCTGGCTTCTTCCGGTACTTTTATGCCTTCAATTTCACACTGGAATCTCCAGTCCATTATATTGGTCCTGGAACATAGTGTGAGATATAGATAAAATTTTGTTTCCCCAGTGGTCACCCATTTTCCTTAATACCATTTATTAATATAATGCTTATTCTAAAACAGAAATGGAGATGTTGGATCAGAGGCTAGGTTCTTATTTATTTGGCTATTGCTCGTGTGTGTGGCTGTTACCTTCTCTGCAGTCATTTGTCCTCTCAGAACCTCAGAGAACAGATGAAGGACAAGGTTTGGGGAGACCAAGAAAGCCGCTAATTAAACAATGTAAGGACTTCAGATGAGAAAACCAAGGCTGCAGTAGTAGAGGACCTGGGAGTGCAGAAGGGGCCTCTTCCCAACTTGTCCACCCCTTCACAGTACTAATGGGTAAACTGAGGCCCAGCAGGCAGGCAGACAACCTTCAGGGTCTGCACACTAGCACCAGGTGCCCAGGTCCTTAGCCACACTGCTCCCAGGCAGGCACCAAACGAAAAGGACCCTGACCCCACCTTACAAATGGAGAAATCAAGGCCAAAGCAGAAGTGACCCCTACCCCAGCACCCCAGATAGAAGCTGTGGTTTCTACCCCCTTTCTCAGGGCCAAGCTACCAACTTCACTTCTGCTAGCAACCTCCAGGTGCCCTTCCCGTCCTGTGCACCATCCCCCACGCCCTTGGCCATCAGGTTCCCCTCCTGGTAAGTCATTATTTGGAGCCCTCTGTTACTCAGCAATCCCTTACCTGACTTCCAAGATGGCGCCAACAGATTGCAGGGAAACCAAATACCAAACAAGAGAAGGAGCTCGCTTGCAGTTCTACAGCAGGCTGAAACCCAGGACTCCAGACTCCAAGTCCTGGGCTCTACTCCCAGTGATGGCCAGGTAGCTGAGCTGTTGAGTAAACAAGGAAGACCCCAGTTAGGCCAGCAGAGAGGTGTGGAGACACGTGAAGCACGGAACAGAGTCTTCAGAGGCTGTGAGTTAGTAACTAGTGCCCGTATTCAGTGTCCACGCTGTGTGATGTTGGGCAAAGAACTTGGGTTCTCAGAGCCTCAGGTTTTCTCATCTGCAAAATGAGGCTACCTGGGTTCCAGTACCAGGGAGCAAGACCCAACCACTGAGCTATCCACACTTCTGGGAGTCAGGCTCTGACCCAGGTCCAACGCTCTGAGCTAAGTTGCTAGCCTGGAGTTCGTCTGCATTACTCTCCGGGTTGATCACACTTGTGAAAGCCCACCCTGCTCCTGCACATGGCCTCACTGCCTCCACTGAGCTGCTGCCCCTGCCCACCATACCCCAAGTCACCACCTCAGGCTTCCTCTTGGCCTGGGTGGGGAGTGAGTGAACTTGTAGTCTCTGCGCAACAGCCCTGAAAGCTGCTATTGCCAGAGGGGCTATTTCACAGAAGAACAGAGGGAGGCTTCAGCAAAGCCAACAGGTAGCCCTCAGCCCCAGGGCCCAGTGCTCAGAGAAGGTTGCCTGGTCCAGTTTGCTGAGCACAAGCTGTGTCCTGTACTGAGCACCTGAGAGTCCCTCACCCCTGCCACTCAAGATGAGGGTTACAGGGCCAGCCCCATTTTACAGATGAGAAAACTGAGGCCCAGATAATCCAATAATTTCCCCCAGGCTACATGAGGAAGCTAAGACTTGAACCCAACACCTAATCACTCCTTTTTTTTCTTTTTAAAATTTCTTTTTGTCAATCTGTGGATCAAACCCAGGGCCTTGTTCACGTGCTGTGCCAGTGAGATACAGCCCCAGCCCTTTCGTTCCCAAGTTGAAATCGCCTCTTTTGATAACACAGCTGTCTACATCCCCAGGATCTAGAGTTGCCACCCAGAGCAGGAAGAAGGTTGGGTTTCCAGCTTTCAGCTCCGGGGACATCACGAAGCCAGTGACCACCTGGGCAGGGGCATGTCCAGAGCACACGAGGTTCAGGGGTGCTGGGGATAAGGCCAGAGAGCTGGATGGGGGAGAGGGAGGAGAGACCCAGGGAACTAACCTGTGACGCTGCCACCTCTGCTACCGTCTTTTCACGATGCTGTCTTGCGGCTTCTGCAGGAAGAACAGGAAGTCGGAGGCGCCAGCTGCAGCAACCTCTCTGTTCACCCCACACCCATACTCCCACTTCACTCCTCTCGCCTCTTTCACCCGCCACACACACCGCACCCTCGCTTCACTTCTTCTTTCGCTGTAGTAGCTCCTGCTTCCTCGGAGCCAAGGCCCAGGCCAAGATCGCCACGGTCTTCTCCCCAGGGCCAGCACCTCCAGGGGACAGCTGCACCTCTGTGGAGGGGCGCGAGCACTGGGTAACAGGGTGCTGTGCAGAACCTACGACCACCTCAGCCCTGCATACTGGTGAAAGCAATAGCACCGCCCTGTACGTCCGTTTCCCCATCCACAAAGAATGATCTCTGCCTGACGTGACAATCCACAGGATTAGTGATGGCAGGGACCTGGGGCAAGTTCTGGGCCAGGCTGCCTGGGTTCCAGTACCAAGCCACCACTCATCAGTTGGGTGACTGGGGCAAGAGACTTAAACTCTCAAATTTCAGCTTCCCTACTGGTGGCAGTACCACCTGGGGGCGGAGAGCCTGCTGCAAAGTGACTGCAACGCCTCATAACACTGTCACATTTCACATACAAGGAGCCTGAAATCCAGAGAAGCAAGGACCTGGCCCCAAGTTGCCCTGCCCATGGCAGGGCCATGGGGGAGAGGCCTCCCTGGCAGCAGAGCTCAGAACACGTGGCACGAACAGGGGGCAATAAAACTGGCTGCTTCTCCTTGAAACGGAGATCCCCAAAAGCCTGTGCTACACCAGCCACACGCTCTGCAGAACTCCAAGGAAAGGGAGGAGTGACTCATACGTGTGTGTGTGTGTGTGTGTGTGTGTGTGTGTGTGTGTGTGTAGGGGGGGCAACACAGCGACTGCGGTGGTGGGGGGCAGGGGTCTCCTCCTGGGCCCCAGTCGGATTCCCTGGGAAAAATGTGATTCAGGAATGTGCTCTTCCATCCCTGCAGGGTGGGAGGTGGGGAGGGAGATGCAGTAACGAGAAAGCAGACAGGTCCCAGCATGGTCTCCTGCCTCTGTGCCTGACACATTCACCCTGCTGTGTTAGCCCAAGCATGGCCCACAGGGAGTACAGGTAGCTCTGTGGGACAGAGCAGGACAGCTTCCTCCTGGACAGCCAGATCCCACCCCACAGGGTGCACAAAGGCTCTGCAAGGACATTGGTCACATCCCTGCTGGTTTACTTGGATAAGCCCTTGCCTCTGCAGTCTTTTGCAGTTCTGTGGTATGGGGGGACTGAGTTACACCCATAGCTGTGTACTTTGGTTTTCTATGACAATGACCCAGATCTTGACCTCCAGCCCTTCCTGTCTGAGGTCACCTGAACCACCAGCCACCTCCTTCCTCACAGCCAGTATAAGCCCAAGCAGCTGTTCTCAGGACCCAGGAGGAGACCCCCGCCCTCCGGGGCAGCCCCTCTGTTTCCCACCTGGGATGTCAGTTACTTAGCCCTGCACTCCACATCCTGGAACTCACTTCCATATATTCTACTGCTCAAAAGCTCTGACCCCTCCTAAATTCTACTTCTACCAGGTTCATGCCCACCTCTCCGCTCTGTCCCTGCTGTGACTCACATGAACCTCAGCAACCCTTCACCTCCCCGCAACCCTATGGGACTCAGCTCAAGTCCTGCCTCCTTCTGGAAGACTTCTCTGCCCCCTACTCCCCTATAGAACATTCTGGAGGCTGAAGCATGAGGAGGCATGCCAGGGTGCTACTCAGTCCCTCAGGAAGGCTGTAGGGCCACATGCCATTCCTAATGAAGTGTCTGCCCACATGGGGACTACTCAAGTGGATCCTCAGCAGGACAGGACTGTAACTGAGTCACGGGGTGAATGAGCAATTTGCTTTCCAACTTTGTCCCAATCTTAGTTGCATCCAGCAAAATCCTTGGTTTAGGGATAAATTATCTTTAGCCTCTTTCCAACAGACTTATGCCCTTCTAGTCTTTTATCCCGTCCTTCAGTCCTTTTTATTGGACATCAAAATAAAATTATTTCGGCAGCACTAAAGATTGAACCCAGGGCTTTCAACACTGAGCTACAGCCCCAGCCCCTTTTATTTTTTATTTTGAGATGGGGTCTAACTTACTATTAGACATCAAAAACAAGAGATCTGATTATTTAAAATTACTATGGTAAATTATATATAACGTAAAATTTACCATGTCAACTATTTTTAAGTGTAAGTTCAGCGGCATTCACATTATCGTTCAACATTGGCCACTGTCTCCAGAATGTTTTTCATCTTGCCAAACGGAAACTGTACCCATTAAACAAAAACTCACCAATCAGGGCTGGGGATATAGCTCAGTGGCATAGAGCCTGCCTATTTCCACTACAAAAACAAAACAAAACAAAACAAAACTCCCATAGCCCTAGCCCTGAGCCCCTGGTAACCATCTCCAGGAATCAGACTACTCTAGATACCTCCTGTAAATGGAATCCTACAGTATTTACCTTTCTCAGACTAGCTTATTTCACTTCATCTAATGTCCTCAAGGCTCCTTCATGTTGTAGCATGTGTTAGGATGCCCTCCCTTTTAAAAATTGAGTAATATTCCCTTGTGTGTATATATACATACCACATTTTGTTTATCCATTCAACTGTCAATGGACACTTGGGCCATTTCCACTTTTAAGCTATTATTAATAATGCTGCTATGAACTTGGCTATAGAAAGGACACCCCTTTCAAAGTTTCTAGACAGATTTTAATAACACTGTTTTGTGTGCATGTTGTTTATTTGTGTAATTTTTTATTTATGGTAACTAAGTCAGACTGTCTATTTATCCTAGTACTATGATAGTCCCTTAAAGTGTACTTACATCCTAAAAGGTAAAATAATGTGTAGAAAAATGGCTAGTAAACAAAGGCACAAGTGCTAAGTATTGATGGTAAAGCGCTGAGGGTACAGAACAAAACTATAGTGTAAGAAATACTGACACAGACCTCAAGTCCAAACCCTATTGTCCTGAGCTGGGGACAGAAGCCCTGCTGGGGCACACTGGGGAGGCTGGCACCACATGCACATGGCATTCAGATGCCTGGAAGGTAGAGTGTTAGGAACAGGGGTGACAAGGGTAAAACTGAAGAGTTAGACCTCAGCTCTGAGACCCACCTCCCAGCATGACCTTTGACTTCTGAATTTCACTTTCCTAAGACACGGTGGTTAACAACACGCAGTACACAGGCTGCTGTGATACTAGGTGACCCATGTGAGCTGCCCAGCCTATGGCCAGAACACACCTCGGATCTGAGCAGGTGAGTGCCCTTCCCAAGAGAAACTCCCTTCCCCAAGGCAGTACAGTATTTCTTGCTTCCTTCCTTGAAAGGGGCTCATTGTGTTGAGGCTATAGCCAGAGTTTAGGTACAGCTTCTACCACCTTCTGTGCATCCCCAACTTCAAAAACTGCGAAAGAACTCTGGGCTTTGGGTTCAAGACTGTTACTTACTGGCTCTGAGACCCTGTGCAGCTTTTCAGCCCGGAGCCCCCCTGAGCCTTCATTTTCCTGGCTCTAAATTTCAGATGTCCTTTTCCTGAGTTCTCAAAGTCTGACTCTCTAAACTGCACAAGAAGCCAAGACCAGCCCCTGTAACATTTGCGGATTAGCAATATGTTAATGCTAATCAAAGCCCCTGTATTCCCACCAAAATTGGTCTCCTATCCATTAACAGATTATCGTCAGCGCTTTACCTTCAATACTTAGCACTTGTGCCTTTGTTTACTAGCCATTTTTCTACAAATTATTTTACCTTTTAGGATGTAAGTACATTTTAAGGGACTATCATAGTACTAGGATAAATAGAAAGTCTGAGTTAGTTACCATAGTTGCCATCTAGTCAACCACAGGGCGGGGATACAGCTCAGCGGCACAAGTGCCTGCCTGGCAAGTGCAAGGTCCTGAGTTCGATTTCTGGTACCAAAAAAAAAAAAGTCAACCACACCAAACACGTAAGCAGATGAAATGACAAGTGAAACTGCATATCTTGCAAAAAGTGTGAGATTTCGTGAAGTTGATGGAAGCAAATGAGGGAGAAAACTTTACCAGCTGATGACCACAGAGAAAGAGAACGTTTATAAGGGAAGTGACTGGGACCTTCTAAAAAGAAGTGATGGGTTATCAAAGGATTCAGAATGATCCTTGCGTTTGAGGAAGCTCTCAAATACTTTTCCGGGGGAAAAAAAAAGGATGCTGCAAAACCTACTCAAAAAGAAAGAATGTTACATACTCAAATTTGTTAGGAAAAGAGTCTTCAAATATTAACATTTAATTCATTCTTCGCTCTGTTTAATGTGTGCATGATCGCAATTATAATCTAAATATTGCTAATAAGGAGGTAAAACTAATTTATCTTCGTAATTTTTAGTTTTCTCTAAGTACTAACTCACTCCCGCCATATTCACATCTGTGAATTTTTCATCTTCTTTTTTGAACAGATAAATTTCAGACAGCCTCCCCAGAGACAGGATGTGATGGGGAGACACCCCCCTTCCTTACTAGACCGCAGACAACCTACTCCCAAGAGAGGAAGCCCCCAAAGGGCTGCGCACCTGGAGGGAGGAGAAGCGCATGACACCCCATGCTTCTTCGCGGGCGTTGAGGCTGCTTTGGTCGGCCCTTTTGGTGGACAGAACTGACCCCGGTGAGGACATAGAGTCACTGGCCCACGTCCACTCAGTGGCTGCAATGCCAGTAGAAAAAGTACAGTTAACAAAAGTCTAAAACTTGGTTAGCGGTCCACGTGTTGAGCGGGCACAGCGGTGCCCGAACGCGGGGCTTCTGGTACGGTCGCTGGCGCTCGGGGAAGCTGAGGCGGGAAAGCCAAGTCCCCGTCCCGGACCTAGCCTTAGGTCCCCCACCCCGGCCCCCACGTTAGGGTGCGGCCGCCGTCGGTCCGGCCCGCGCCCGTTGCCCGCAGTCAGGCTGCAGTCCCCA